TAATTATGTGTAAAACCAAAAATAATTAAATAATACAAGTATATAAGTATATTATTGATCTTATTACTACTAGAATTATATAACAGAAAATCGTAGTTAATTTATACATTCGATGTTGTACTTTTTATGAGTGAGTTTACAATTTTACCTGCGACTCAAATCGATTTATTAGCATATAATTGAATCATAAATTGAGATAATTTTTTTATTTACATAATGATTTTAACATATTAGATACCATGTTTCCCCCACCCACATTTTTATATCCTTTTCTTTGTATGCTTTCTATTTTATATTTATGTTCTCTATTTAATTGGTTGTCTCTTTTGGCTCCCGCTAAAACTATGGTGGCTTATAGGTCATCTAAGCATACAAATTCCACCAGATCCCTAAAAAAATCCACCAAGAGTCCTACCAAAGACATCATAATGATTAAATCTATTATTATTTTTTAAATAGAATCTTGTAACTTGCAACTTTATATCGCAAAAAACAATGATTTTAAACTCTTTTTTCCGAACAATTATTATATGTTAAAACATATATCCTGGTGCTATCAAAAAACAACATTGGGCATTATCCTTTTCGCGCAATGCGCGACGTATAACTAGTAAATTAATAAAGGCAATTGCGCCTAACAGGGGAGCGCGACCTACAAATGGAATACACATCCAAGCTGGCCTGATCCGCATGCCTCGAACCTGGGCATGATTCTAACGAGGTCAGACTCATCCTTGGACCCACGTGACAAGTCATTCATTGTGCATGAGTATCCGGTTGCGACATGAATTGAATGGAAGCGACGTGGACGTAAAGGAGCAATAGATATGGAGTTATGGGATACGTTCAAAGAGTCCCATCATGATTAGACCTATTTAATGTACCGATTATGTCTCCTTAGACTACTGTAGTTCTATGTATATAAATACTTCATGTACTTACCCTAAAAGGGATCAGCTTTTCCGAATAATAATAGTGTCTTACGCTGCCCAAATACTTTGTTTTCATAGATTAGCTCTTTGTTATTAGTATTAAACTCCATCAATTATACTTACTACGAATTACTGAGTCATTTTTTTGTCCAACATGCTTATTCTGTAAATATATTAGGTATTTGTTTTAAATAACATTTGTATATTATATTGATTTTATATTAAACGTATATTGTTTCTGGTTTTAATCGGTCCAGATTGGGTTGTAGATTTTAGGGACTGTTAGTTGACCCGATTTTTGGGTTCGGTCCGGATATTTTTTTTGGGCCGTCAAAAAATAAGAAAACCTGAACCAGCCACATTTTCAATCTGAGCTAGGGTCGATTTTTGAGTTTCGATTCAGTTTATCCCACCTCTAGATTTTGTTTAGTTGTTGGATCGTGTCATTTTGATAGTAAAGTATTGTTTGCACATTCTTCACTACCACAATATATAGTGGTGGACTCGGGCCGGGTGGCCTGACCCGGAATCGGCCCCGGCCCGGTACTGTTAGAACCGGCCTAACCCGGTGGCCCGGCCAGGGACCGGTCCGGGTAGGCCTGGCCCGAGGGGTTTTCCGGTGCTAACTCAGGTCAGGTAAATAAGGAACCGGCCCGGCCGGGCCCGGTTCGGGCCATATTGTTTTTTCAATTTTTTTTGAATTCCCGGGTTGGGCTGGGTATTTTGGGCCATTTGGAGTGGTTTGGGGGATTGGGGATTGGGGATTGGGGGGGGGGGGGGGTCGGGGGTTAAATGGAAAAAAAGGGGAAAAAATAGAATTTGGCGCGAGGCCCGACCCGGACCCGGGGGTTACCCGGGCCGGTACCGGGCCTACCTCCCAACTTCTAAAGCCCGATCGGGCCTAGGCCCGGCCCGGGTCCATCACTAACAATATATATGAACTGTAAGAGTATTATGTTAATGCCATATTTGATCTATGCCTTTGATTTTATCTGTTTTTGGTATATGATTTTTTTTTGCCTGTTTGTGACCCTTCAGCCTAAATCTATGACACTTTTATTGTGACTGTACCACACTAACACCGGATATACGAATGGAAGAACTCCATGCGGGCAACAAACAAAATAATCTCAAGTACCGATTAAGAGTAGCGGAAGTTGTAAATCATAAGAGTTGTGCTATAGGTATCCCATTTTTAGCACATACTTTGTGTGGTCCAAAAGAGACCGCATTTAAATGAGTTGCCCCACTTAAATGTATTGCCCCATTTGGACCACACAATAGATAGAGTGTGGTAACAATGGGTACCCAAAATGGGGGTACTTATAACATTTTGGAAATAATTAACCCTATCATGCCTCTTAAAAAAAGTAAGACCATATAAAAGTGAAGAAAATAGAAATCAATGCAAAACGTACATTTTTTATTAAGAAAAGTGACAACCCAATAATAAAAAAAGTTACAAAAGTAATTTGCAAAATAGAAACTACTCAATGAAAAATTTGTTGATGTTGTACCGCGAAATCAATAAAAAAACCAAAACAACTACTCCCTCTGTATCAATTTAATTGACCCATTTGCTTTTCACGCAGTTTAAAACAATTACTGTAAACTTTATTAAAAGTAAGAGGTTTTTGGTACTGTAGCGGTACTGTAACAGTATTGTAGCAGTACTGTAGCTGCTTTTTAAGTGGAATTCTTTCCAAAAAGGGAAAGAGGTCAATTAATTTGATACTCCAAAAAAGGAAAGTGAGTCAATTAAATTGATACAAAAGGAGTAAAACATAGAGAGAGAGCGTGAAAATACGGAAAAAGTAAGATTGAAAAGTGCTAAAAACAAGACTTTTTACATGGTGCTTAAATAATTGTGTGTGTAAGCTTAAATAAATACTGGAGTATGTGTGTGTGAACTTAAATAAATTAAACAGTCTCGGGATGGCTAATTAAGTCCATCAAGCTAGGATTGGGCTGAAGCTTAATAATAGAATAAGCAATCCCTGTAAGGCAGTAGGGCAGTGTGCTGCCCTAAGTACGTAAATAAGTGCAACTTTGCATTAAAATAAAGTGTTGAGTTTGGTACTTTGGTTGAAAAAAAAAAAAAAATAAAAAAAAAAAAAAAAAATAAAAATAAAAAAAAAACGATTTTGTGAACATGAAAACAATGTAAAATCATAAATACTCCGTATGTAAAGACTTTGAGTCTTTGACAAAAGGGAAAGACTTGGGAAACCGTGAGTAGGGGTGGGCAAAAATACCGAATCGGCATGATACCGAACCGGACCGGTATGGTACCGGACCGATAAACAGGGTTTGAAACGGATCTCAAATTTTTTTGTCCCGAACCGGACCGAACCGGTTCCAAACAATGCCATGACCGGTTCTCATAAAATGAAAACCGGTACCGGACCGAACCGGACCGAAGTATGGTTTATTAAAATTGTACTACTATAGTTTATCTAAAATATATTAATTACCTCATCCGTCCCAAATTGATTTGCAAAGCCAACATTTTTTTGTCAAAGTTAATGTTAAGTTCTTGATAATTACTACAATTTTTAATAATTAAAATTTACATATTTAGAAACCACATTAAAATCTCTCTAAAGTTGCAAAATCGAAATTAAAATATACGAAGTATGGAGTAGTTTTTTTGAAAGACCAAATTAGAATATAATTAAAAAGTGAAATCCTAATTAAATGAATAAAAAGAAATTGTTTGACCAAAAAAAGATTGACTTTGCAAATCAATTTGGAATGAAGGTAGTATGATATATGAAAATTGATAAATTGTGTGAATTTTTGGAGGATGGTTAAACTTTGATTTTTTCTTAAACACCTGGAAAAAGTGGCATTGTTTGGTATTGATATGGCATTATACCGTCACGTTTGAAAATGGACCGTACCGAACGGGTTTGGGTCTAAGACCGAACCGTACCGAACCGTTTCAATAGTAACGGTACGGGTACGGGTTCGGCCAAATATTGGACCGGACCGGACCGTGCCCACCCCTAACCGTGAGAGTGAGAAATTTTAGTATGGCCCATTTTGACATCAAGTTATGTTCCTTTTTAAATGAATTGTCTGTGTACACAGACAACTAGAGGAGTTTTGTGTACAATTTGTGTACAACTTGTGTACACTAAGAATTTTCCTTTTAGTATACTCCTTCCGTCTCAATTTAAAAGATACTGTTTGACTTTCACACAATTTAAAAAAATGATACTGTTTGATATTGTTTTGCATGGTTTTGTTTATCACACAAGAAAAGAGGACATTTTTAAGGAACAGATCGAAAAAGAAAGTGAAATGTTTATTTAAGGACGGAAAGAGTAAAAAGAATACTGAGTATTGGGTCATGTTTCAAATTTCAAAAAATCTTTTATACTTCTTCCGTCCCATTTTACCTCCCCTACTTTTCTTTTTGGGTTGTCCCAAAATAAGTGTCTCCTTTCTTTTTTTGCAAAGAAATATGTGACCTATACCATTTCACTTTATTATACTCAAATCTCAACCACAACTTTTACTTTTTCAACCACTTCAATAACCGTGTCAAGTCAAACTAAGACACATAAAATGAGACAGAGGTAGTACATATTACTACTGTTTACACAGTGTCTTGAAAGCTTTTAGGGCTTGTTTGCGATCAATTACAAAAAGTGATTTTGGCTTTTTTTTTAAAAAAAAATAACACTTATTTTACCAAACACTATCAACTTTTACTTTCTCGGTTTTCGTGTAGAATCTACTTTTTACTTTTTCTATTACACAAAAAACACTTATTTTACCAAACACTACTAACTTTTACTACTAATCACTTTTTCCCAAAAGTGCTTTTATTTAAGCACAAGTGGTTACAAACAAAGCCAAATATTTATTTACCTTTTTTCTTGCAAATGTAGTACTCCGTATTGTACAAGTATTATGTACAAGTGTGTAAACAAGTGTATACAATAAGAATTATTGTTCAAATTTATATACCGGAATACGGAGTATTTTTTTTACCTTTTTTCTTGCAAGTGTAGTACTCCGTATTTATTTACCTTTATTATTACTCCTTAGTCCGCACTACTCCGTATAAGTTTCAACACAACTGTGAGAAACAGCAATCACACTATACCTACAGTGAATGACACGGATCTGATTCTCTTCCTTCTTCTCCGCTCCGCCCGATTCGCCGTCGTCAACCGGATCCATCCGCCGCGGCTCCAAGATGACCGCAATCAGCATCCACGTATCCGCGCTTGACGGAATCATACACGTCAACTCTCTGTTCACATTTGCCGTATTCGTCGGGCTAGCTTGGAACCCTCGCGACCCGAATAACCGGCTCACTGACGACCCGAAATGTGAGGCCGGGCCGAAAATCGCGGAGGATCTGGTGGCGTTTCACGTATACTCCTTCGCCTCTTTCCTCTTCTCCAGCCTCATCGCCATGTGCATCAAGCAGGTCACCCGACTGGCCGAAGGTGCACATGTGGAGATTCACGGCGTTGACATTTCGGTGGTTGTGAACAAATTCTTAGTCCAGATCGGGTATGGAGTTTGCGCCGTGGGTTCGGTTGCTGGCTGTGTTTGCTTGATGCTTGCTTTGAGGAATGTGGTTGAGATCAAGCTCGGGACATTAGGGTGTGGAAGCCCGCATACCTCTGAAGCTGTCTACCCACTTTTTATCTTTGGGATTGCTGGACTTATCTTTTATGTCCTCACCATTGTATATGCTTTTTTTGTTTAGAAAGTCATCAATCATCAATTTGCTTGTCCAGGCCGGCTTAGATTTGTTTATTAACAAGGTTGGTTGTGGGTGAGATTGAGATGTGTTGTAAACTTGTAACTAATGGTATGAAATTGGGATCCCGTGCGGGAATCCCACCCCGATTACTGCTGTTGATCGACGGTTGTGATGCATTTGCTCGGGGTGGGGCTGTGCCCTGCACGGGATGTATGTGGTAATTGTGGCTTTTCATTTCATTGATGTCCTTCATAAGAGTGTTTGTTTTGATAGAATAGAGTGTAGAGGATACATGACTTCATTCTTCAGGTTTACCAATGAATGTGTCTGGTTTCTACGGAGTATATTTTAAATTTTCTCTATTGAATTGGTATGGAATTGGGATCCCGTGCGGGAATCCCACCCCGATTACTGCTGTTGATCGACGGTTGTGATGCATTTGCTCGGGGTACCTGCACGGGATGTATGTGGTAATTGTGGCTTTTCATTTCATTGATGTCCTTCATAAGAGTGTTTGTTTTGATAGAATAGAGTGTAGAGGATACAGGACTTCATTCTTCAGGTTTACCAATGAATGTGTCTGGTTTCTACGGAGTATATTTTAAATTTTCTCTACTGAATATGTTGACTGTCTTACCAAGACTTGTGACTTCAATCCTTCATAATGCATCCATCAACATCTATGGACTGGAAGTTCCAAAGCCATGGACATGACATGTATGTGATCTGAAACGTAAAGCAGGTATCAAATGCTAAAGTAGAAACTGCTTCGAAATCAGTAACCTGCATTTTTCATTTTAATAATAAAATTTCCCGGTGGAATTTTTTAATGAAATTTTTATCCTTCCTTGAATTTATTCCCGGTGGAAATTCTCCTTAATACTACCGGTGGGCACTTTCCCGGTGGAATTTTTTAATGAAATTTTTTGAGCATGTTCCTCATCAAGTCTAGTTTGTCCATACCAAATTTCAGCTCAAAATTCAATTGGAAAGGCATTAAAATCATTTTTTGAAGTTGACTGCATTTTTATATAATTGCTCTTCGCATATTGTGCCCTGGGTTCGGTTGCAGGCTGTGTTTGCTTGATGCTTGCTTTGAGAAATGTGGTTGAGATCAAGCTCGGGACATTAGGGTGTGGAAGCCCGCATACCTCTGCAGCTGTCTACCCACTTTTTATCTTTGGGATTGCTGGACTTATTTTAATGCCCTCACCATTGGATATGCTTTTTTTGCTTAGAAAGTCATTAATTTGCTCGTCCCGGCCGGCTTTGATTTGTTTACTAACAAGGTTGATTGTGGGTGAGATTGAGATATGTTGTAAAATTGTAACCAATTCTATGGAATTTGGACCCGTGCGGGAATTCCACCCCGATTACAAGTTTACAACCGTACAACCGTTGATCTATGTCAATCGTGATTGCAGTTGACTATGATCGACGGTTGCGATGTATTTGCTCGGGGTGGGGCAGTTCCCCACGGGATATATGTGGTAATTGCATCTTTTACTTTCATTGATGCCCTTCATAAGAGTGTGTTTGGTTTGATAGAATCAGGTGGTAGAAGATATATGACTTCAGTCTTCAGGTTTACCAGTGAATGTGTTTATGTGTTCGGTTTCTATATCTTAAATTTTCTCTAGAGAACTGAACTGGTTGACTTCTTACCAAGACTTGTGACTAGCAAAACAAATGTGCTCAATCCTCTTCATAATGCATCCATGAACATCCCAGGGACTGGAAGTTACAAACCCATGGACAATAATGTTGTTTTGTTCAACGTACCATGAGATTTATGTGATCTGAAACGTAAAGCAGGTATCAACTATCAAATGCTAAAGTGGAAACTGTTTCGAAATCAGTTACCTACATTTTTCATTTTAAGCAGGGGCGGATCCAGGAAGTTTGTCTTGGGAGGGCGGTGACTTAAACAAAATATTTTTTGGGAGGGCGAACATTATTTTTTATTATCTATATACACTAAAAAAAATTGTTGTTGGGGGGGCGACCGCCCCCCTGGGTCTGTACTACGGTCCGCCCTTGATTTTAAGACATTTCAAATTTCACTAGAATTATCAATTATGTACTCAATAAAAGGAATGGTCCGCTAAACATATCCCTAAAACAGCACCAAGAACTTGGTTCAATCAAAAGGGAACACAATCGATCTATCTATCTATATTCAATTGGTAATACTGTGAAGTTTGAACTTCAATACACTTTATCCATATTAGCTAAACAATAACACTTACGAATATGATGGAAGATTATTGCTATTGTTATTATACTTGTTGTTGTTATTATTATGATTCCTATTACTATTATTTTAATTTTATTGTATGATAAATGTAATTGTTGTTGTCGTTATTATTACTGTTTTCTAAGATCATCATCAACATCATCATCACTAGACTAGAGGGAAGAATTGATGTGAGAATGTGAGATGCAAAAAACACTAGAGAGAAGGGAAAATTTTCGAAAGAGGTAGAAATGCATTTTGAAGTTTCAAAATATCAGTGCCATAAATTTAATTTTTTATTACTTGCATAAAATAATTACTATGAAGTTTGAAAACTGTGATGCTTAAAATTTGATATAGGAAATACAATTGTTTTCGAAACACCATTTTAAATATTACTCCGTACTTAATATTTAGGAAATAAAAATATAAAAATCCAGAAACGTTTTTAACAATTTTTAAGAGTTTATAGTGCATTGTCGGCTTTGATGTGGATTGTTGAAGATAAAACCGGTGTAAGATAAATACTACTCCGTAACTTTAAAATCTTCTCATTTGAAAAGTAGGTAGACTAAGAATAGTGAAAGAGAATATGAATCATTGAGGATATGATAGGAAAATAGTGGAATAAGGTGATGGAATGTAGGATAAATCCAAAAAAGTAGTTGTAATAGTGTATTATTTTCAGAATTATTGAGGGTATGATGGGAAGATTTAAAAATGAGAAGATTTTTTTGTTACGGACTAAAAAGGAAAGTGGGAAGATTTTAAAGTTACGGAGGGACATATTACGGAGTAACTATATTATTAAGCACTTTTTTTCTTTAAAAAAGATGAAGAAACTATTAAGGAATAAATTCAAGGAAGGCATCTTCAATAAGTTTAATTTATTTATAAAAGAGGCATTCATTATTTTCTTGACTCCTCACACGACCACACCGATAACATTAGAAACCTTACAACCTAATATTGTAACATCCGGCTCTACGGTGAGCACCGTACAGCCGGCCCAGGAGCAGGCCCAAGAGAAAAATAGCAAAATAATTCAGTGACATTTTTGTAATTAATGTAAAAAACGCGGTTTCTGCTAAATGAGCATCAATGTACAGTTAATGAGCAATAGTCAAATTTTAATCAGTATTAAGCATCAAATAATGAGCACTGTGTTATTACAAGAAAGTTGATAGCACAATTAATAAATGGTGTCATTTTCGTATTTTCAGTGAAAATCGTGGTTTTCGTCAGATGAGCACTATTACACTTTTAATGACCATCATACGTGTTCTACTGAGCACTAAGAGTCGAATAATGAGTATTTGTGATATCAACTTCATATATTGTAATTCACTTTCTTTTTCTTATTTTTTCTTTTATAAGATCTCATTAAATTATATCTATAATCCGTTCCTATGAATTTCAATATGCGAATCTAATGTAATATGCAACTTTTGAAATATGCATTGATATGACATTTTAAAAATGAGCATAACATGAGCACCAATTGAGCTTAAGTTACTTAAAAATGAGCATTGATATGAAAATCATTAGTTTTTTAGTCGAAATTCAAGACATTTTTATTGAGCATTAAAACTTTTCTATTGAGTATTCGAAACATGCAATTGAGTATCATGCATGGTCTATGCTCCTATGTCTATAATCAACTCCTACGTGAATGTAATTTAATATGGTACTTTTAAAATAAGCATTTATATAATATTTTAAAAATGAGCTAGCATCAGTACAAAATGAGTATACATTACTTACCAAATGAGTAATGATATGAAAATAATAAGCTTTGTTAGTTGACCATCACAATATTTTCATTGTATATCAAACCTCCGTTATTGAGTATCAGAAGCATGCATATCATGATTTGCGGTACCATGTACACAATCTAACTCTTATTCGAATCTAATATGATATTTTTGAAATATGCATTAACATGACATTTTAAAATGAGAATACAAGCAGTACTAGATGAACATACAAAACTTATAAAATAAGCATCGAAAGATCAAAAAGATCGTTTGAATTCTCTAATGTGTTCAAATGTTCATTTTTGCACATAAAGTAACAAATATAGTAATGAAAAATATAGTAATTTTATATTAAAAAAATTATAGTCTTCCGTTTGCGAATTACAAATATAACTGTGTTATTTATATACTCCGTAATATTTACTCGTGCATATTTATTTTACTATACTCATTTCAATACTCCATATAACAGAAAATCCACGTTAGACAACAATATTTAATAAACTAATAAATTTTCATCTTAAATTAAAAATAAAACCTAAAATATTTCACAATAAATAAATTAAAAAACCTTAAGTAAGAAATTTGATTGAAAAAAGAAACAAATAGACCGGGACATTTAATAATATTTTATATTATAAATTTTCATAATAATGGAATACAAAATTAAAGAAAAGAGTTGCTAATGAAAGAAACAAAAAAAGAAAGAAGAAACACAATTAAACCAAAACGAAAAAGAATTGAGAACAACAATAAAGCAAATAAAAAAAGGAGAGAAACGATATCGAGATTAACGACTAGTGCAGGAGGAACTAAAAAGAATTGAGAACAAACAATAAATCAAACAAAAAAGAAACAGAGAAGCAATAACGACAAGAGCAGGAGGGGGCGGAGAGAAATTAGGAGTGCATGCGGCCAAAGAAAAGTGAACAGTGTAACCAATCTAATTACTACCCTGAAAGTTGAAAGTAATTACAAAAATGGTGGTTGTACTATACTCGTAGAGCCGGCTGTACCGTATAATTTGCCTTGTCAGCTTGACTAATTGAAGCTAATATAAATATATATAATTGCTCTTTGCATCCCATGGGTAGCTTGGAACTACCCATGGGATGCAAAAAAATGTTATATAAAATATTTAAATGTTTTTTTGTATTATCAATGTGTAATAAAGTTAAAATGATCTATGTTGTACAATCCGATCGAGAAGTGATCCCGACAGATGACAACATCAAGCGTCACTCCTAAGTGGGCCCTAACTCGACAAGTCAGCCCGATCAACACTAAATATATTTAATACCCCCTTCGTCCCATTAAACTTGACCAATCGTACTTTTCTTGGTCAATGATAAAAACGTTTGAACAATGATTTTAATTATTATATTTATGCGAAACTTATAATTTTTATACTTTTACGAATGTACATTTAACAAATAACATTTTCATATATATTTTATTTTTTAAATAATTTCGTATTAAGAAATATCATTGGTAAAACTTGACCATCATTGTCCAACAAAAGTCAATACGGCCAAGTTTTATGGGACGAAGGGAGTGATACGTAATACTCCCTCTGTATTTTTTTGTTTGCTACACTTTCCTTTTTTGGATTTATTCAAAAATTTGCTACACTTTCCTTTAAAAATACTCAACTATCCTTACTTTTTCTATTTTTTATTTTATCTTTCATACTTTTACACTATCTTTCATACTTTTTCTACGGTATTCATTAACCCTACTATTTGACTCTTAAAAAATGTGTCAACACCTAATGTAGCAAACAAAAAAAGGAGTACATAAGATTAAATTCATAAATCGGAAAATTTCATTCTTTTCTAATTTAATGATAAGGCAAGTAAATAATTAAAGTATTTTAGTTTTAAGGGAAAATCACACTTTTGGTCTCTTAATTAGTCACCATATTGAAATGTCAGATCTGTGTTTATGAGATTGTAAGTGTCACCCCCCAAATTGATAGATGTCTTGTAAATGTCATCCCCGCCGTTTATAATTCATCTCAAATTCTGGAATCTCAGAAATATTAGTCAGAATGACATTTACAACACATCTATCAATTCAGGGATGACATTTGTAATCTCAGAAATACTAGTCTGACATTTCAATATGGTGACTAATTGAGGGACCAAAAATACAATTTTCTCTAGTTTTAATTGAATTCAAAATACATTTCGGCTTAGAGGGACTATGAATATGAGCATGACACCAATTAAAATTTCTCTAGTTATATATAGAAGGTTTATATATATAATGTGTGTGTATATATATCTTTGGTTATATAATTCTTTGGTTAAATAATAAGCCGCAAGTAACGTTACATGGTTCTTTTTCCATCCAACTCATTTGTTTTCCGTCCAATTTATTTCTTTTTCTATCCATCAGTCCAACTGCCCGTTTACAGGTTAACGAAAGAGATATTACCCAAAATGAGACTAAAAAAGTTTGAAAATATGGTTTGAAAACGTCTTTTGGCTTGTTTGCGTCCATTCCTTCGGAGTTCGGACTGCGTTTCTTCAACCTCGAAATAACTTCGCATTCCATTCCGGCACACTGCATATTTCGTATATTTCTGAAGTCCAAAACATGGCGGAATAAATCTCTTTCTCTATCTCCTCCTTTGATCTGCTAACGTT